CAGTCTCCACTCTTCCCCCACACCAGCAACGGGGTTAAAAAGTCAGTGTATCTATTGCTAATTCAGTTTTGGCCAGGGGAATGCGTGGGGAGATATTTGCCTCCCCTCCTGGAGCACTATGGTCCTAGAGAGCCACTATGTGGTGGCATACAAATGCAAGAAATAAATAGATAAATAAGTTGAATGGTATCTGAGCCTGCTTCCCCATGAGTAAAAAGGAAAGCCTCAGCTGCTTCCTACCTGATCCACGTAATATGTAGCTTGGCTCTAAGTGCTTTCTTCAATACAGTGTTTATTTCCAACTACAATGATCATAGAAACATAGAAACAGAGCGAGTCAGAAGGGGCCTCCCAGGCCATCTAGTCTGAGCCCCAGGTCTAGCCAGCTCTGCTCATGACATGCCTACCATGTGCATGTCTAGCCTACCCTTGAACACCCTCACTGGTGGGCCTCAACCACCTCCCATGGAAGCCCATTCCATACCCTTGGGGTCCTAACTGTCAGGAAGTGCTTCCTGGCATCCAAAGCGAACCTTGGTTCTTTGAGCTTTGCTCCGTTGGAGCACGTCCTGCCTTCCTCTGCAGGGGAGAACAGGTCTCTACCCACCTCTGTGCGACACCCTCTCACATATAATTTCCAGGAGCAGTTCCCTGTTCTAGTAGTATGCATATTGGTTGCAAGCACCCAAAGAAACATGGCAGTAATGTAAAAAACTGGATTTTTATGTCAAAATCTGTGCCATTCTGTGGAAAAGAGGAAAATCAACTTTCTCACAGCTGACTGGATTCTTCACAAACACAGCCGCCAGATATCAATAAAGAATCAACATGTTCTTCATCTGATTTGATGAAAACAAAAGATGAGTGACATCAGTGCAGATACTGGTGACATGAGATCCTAGAACAATCTATGAAAATGGCTACATGTATCAGAATCAATCATTTGCTGCCCACAATGCATCTATTTCTGGTCTGTAGTCATTCTGCATGTGTTCATTCATACATCTTTTCTGTACTATTTTCAAACCAATTTCAAAAAATAAAATCCACACAAAAATCAGTTTGGGTAAGTATACAATTCTAAACTATTTGGTCCTAAAAGATACATTTTCTATTCATTTTGGACTGTTTTTGAGCTGGACTGCAACATTCAGAAAAATGCAAAATTCAAAGAATAGCCCATTAAACCAGGAAGTGCAGATTTGGCTGGTTCATGCCCCAGTGTGGACTGAACAAGATCCTCAGGCATCCCTACCACTACTCTGTCTCCCTTGTTTCAGCAATGATCGAAACCTCTTTCTGCATGTACCAAAAGGAAACAGGAAATGAAGGTGGTGAGAACTACAACAATCATTTCCAGTAGCAGTTGACTCCAAAGGCATCATTGCATCTGCTGGGATGAATAAATACTCCAGAAAGCTCCCAATTAATTAATTATATTCACAGCATGACTTTTTTCTTTCACGGAACCCAAGGCAGCTTACATGATTCTCCACTTCCTGAGCTCCATCTTATCCTTACAACAACCCTGTGAGGTAGGTTGGTCTGAGCATCTGGGACTGGCCCAACGTCACTCAGCTGGCTCCATGGCTGAGTGGGGATGAGAACACCTGAGTCCCAGTCCTGTGCTCTCAACCATTACACCACACTGGCAAGCGAGCGATCTGGAATTTGGAATCATAATGTTTTCAGAAGCAAACTGTCCTGATGGGTTCATGTGGAAGCAAGATGGAGCAAAAAATGCAACCTCCACCAGATAAGCTTCAGGGCTACATCACACATTGGGTTAATCATGCAGCATTCTTAACGCTGCCACTCTTTTGAAGGAGAAGCAGATGTGGGGCTGCCACTTTAGTACTGGAAATGCAAACCAGATGTGGTTTGGAAGAGCCCTTCCAAACATGTCCTGCCCTGAGTCTGCTATTTGTTTCTGAAGAAGTTATCTGCAGAAAGGCTGTTGGGAATTTCCACGTAGGAAACAGGTATGACACCTGATCTAGATGCTTCAAAATAAAACACATTTTCTAAAAGTGTTATCAAGGCAATGTAAACACATATAGATTTCATTATAGCAGCAGGGATAGAAGTATAAATAAATAGTCTGGGCCTAAGGCTATAAAGTTGCCACTATTGCACTTCCCACAAGTATGCAGCCACCTACAAGCTGAGGAAGGCAAGGCGATTCAACGGCATGAAGCCCAGGTTGGGCCAGCTCCATGGGCTTCTGTTGTGTTTCCACACCCAATTTATCATGCTGGTTTTGACCTCTAAAGCCTTGAATGGCTTGGAATGAATTACCTGAAGGGCTGCCTTTGCTCTTATTAGTGACCCCCCACTGATGGGCTCACATTAATGGCCACACGTTAATATCAGCAAGAGAGCCCCTTCCCATTTGCCTGCCCATGAGAACAGTGAGGGCTTTCTGTTCAGTGGCTCCATACCTCCTGGGCGCATCCACCTGGCCCCATCTCTGCAGGCTGTCAAGAAGACCCTGAATACTTACTACTTTGCCCTGGTCTTCCCCTGGTCATGATGTATCTGATGATACTTCTTTAAAGTTTTATTTTGTGTTGCCATAAGCTGTTTTTAAGCAGCTTTGTTGATGTCTTTATTGCTGTTTAACTGTTTTGATGGTGTTTTTACTATTTTATTTATTTAAAGCTTTTGAACACCATCCCATCACTGATGTCTTGGGATGGTTCACAATAACAATAATATTTAACTATTTTAAATATTGCATTACCACATTGGTTTTTGTTATCTCCTTTATTGTTTTCTATTTCCTTGCAAGGGCTGCTGTCCAGAAAAGTGACCAAGAAATGTTTCAGAGTAAATCCTTGAAAGTAGGCCAATATGGTTACACACATTTTCATGCAGCTAATTCTGCAGTGGCAGCAAAGGCACCGAATTGCTCTGAGTGCATGTGTGGACTGAAGATAACAAGCACTCCACATGGCTGATGTTGTTAGTGGGTGGTTCTTCTGGCCAGATGGAGGGAATTCAGCCTGTTCTAGACGGGGTTACATTCCCCTTGAACAAGCCAGTTCATAGCTTTGGGATGCTCCTTAGGCCATCTTTGTCACTTGAGGCCCAGTTGGCTTCAGTGGCTCAGAATGCCTTCTCCCAGCTTTGTCTGGTGGCCCAGCTACACCCCTATTTGGACAGAGATAGCCTGTAATCAGTAATCTATGCTCTTGCAATCTCTAAACTAGATTACTGCAATGTACTCCACATGGGGCTGCCCTTGAAGACGGTTCAGAAGCAGCAACTTGTGCAAGACAGGGCAGCCAGACTAACAACAGGGACCGTACAGTCTGAGCATATAAAACCAATTCTGGCTCACTTGTATTGGCTATCTGTATGCTTCTGAGCACGATTTAAGGTGCTGGTTTTAACTTAAAATGCCCTACATGGTTGGAAGCACAATACTGGATGGAACGCCTCTCCCAACCACTTTCTACGCAGACACTCTTCCCCTGCTCCAAGGGAGACTTGACTGGTGGCAACAAGAAGGGCCTTTTCAGTGCTGGTTCCTAGTTGTGGAATGAGCTCCCCACTGAGGCCCATCTGGAACCAACCGCAATCTCTTTTTGCCACAGGTCAAGCCTCTCCTCTATCGAAAATCATTGAATTCGTTGGGGCTCTGTTAGTGTTTAATTCAGCTTCAAACAGGTTTTATCTTGCTTAAGTTACTGACATTTGATATATAATCTAAATGTAGTTTTAACTCTTTTTGTATGCTAATGTCCCCCCCCTCCAATGCTTTTATATTGTGGTGCTTTTTAAACTGTGTGTGTTGTAAACTGGCCAGAGAGCTTTAGCTTATATTGTTGGGCAATACAGAAGTTAAATAAATAAATAAATAAATAAATGTCACAAGCACATAAATATTCTCTACTTGTCTGCTGCATCCTCATTCTGCAGCTGATATTGATATGTATACAATCGCAGCAAATGGCTGATTCACACACATACTCACATAATTCAGTTTGTCTATCCTGAGTTTCTCTGAGTTCATATAACATATAAGGGCATATAAGTGGTGATTTACCTTGGATGGCCCATTCAGATGTCGAGGCAGTAAATGGCTTTTTTTATTTTGGACTAGTTTCCTTCTTTTTCTGCATTGTAAACCAACCCCATGACCTTAGCATGGGTAATAGAATCCTCAGCTTTTACTTTCTGTTATACTCTTGACTCTTTAAGTTAATTCATACAACTGTTAGATAAAGTTTGTGGAATTTAACTTTTCCATGCTATGCTTGCCCAGTGAAACAGCCCGCCATCGCATTTCTTTCTGAGCTTCCCTCTTCCTAACCCTCCCACAAATAGACTTTGAAGTGGGGAGTGGGCAGTAGTTTCTGTCCAAATGGACTAGGGCTTGATGCAGCTGAGAAGGTTGTATCTTGCCATTGGATTTACAATGGGAAAGGGAACATGGAGCCAAATCTCCGATGATGCTCACAGTGGGAGAGGATGTTAGTGTAGGCTTCTGGGCAGACAAAGACAGGACTGCAGCTTTAGGAACTGGGTAAATGGAATAGCAGAACCCATGGCTTAGAAGTAAAACACAAAGCAGGGTGCACAGCGCCTTATGCCACTTTCTAATAAACAGAAAATGCCACTGCTGCAGCTAACCTTCTGTAAAATGCCTATGAGCTCCAAGTCACTTGTACTGCATTTCCCCAGAGAGGCTGGTCAACATTAAGAATGTATAAAGTACAATTCTGTCAGAGCATTTTGGCAACTACTTGTTATGATATTGCTTCCTGTCAAGCGCGTAATGCAATTCTGTCTTCCTATAAAAAATAAACGCTGGGTGTAATCGCAGACTCTTGTCATTTCCCACATTCCCCACACTAAATATTTAAACAAGAGGAGGCTGCAGAATCTCTCAAGCTAGGATTGGCTCTGTGCTTGAGCCCAAAGGTGGGACTATCTGTGCAGCGGCTGAGGGATCGCTGAAAAGCCATGAATGACAGAACCAACGAAAATCCTACCTGTCCACAGGCCAGGCCCATTCCTTTCTCCCCCATGCCATGCGGGCATGATAAATTCAGCTCCAGGGCATCAGCTCCTGATACCTGCGTGACACACAGAGAAAAGAAAACGTCAGACTTTAACTGTCAAATGGAATACCACCTCACTGTAGATAATTTTCCAAATGACAACCAGATGCTTGGATAGTTCACAGGACAAGCAGTAGTCCCCACTCCTGCTTGTAGATGTTTGTTTAAGTTCATTATGAATTCCAAAAATGTAGGAAAACAAAATCTTAAAGGGATACCTCTGAAAGGAAGCATGGATTTACAGTGAAGGTACAATCCTAATCAGGTTGAGGCAGAAAAAAAGACCTACAACTCCAGTCATGCTAGAGGAACCATGGCTGGCTGGGGCATGCTGGGAGTTTTAAGCCTAAACTTGCACACAAACATAAAGTGAGTCAGAAGGGGCCTCCCGGGCCATCTAGTCTGACCTCATGACATGCCTACCATGTGCATGTCCAACCTATCCTTGAACACCTTCACCGATGGGTTCAACCATCTCCCGTGGAAGCCCATTCCATACCCTTGGGGTTCTGTCAGGAAGTACTTAACAACTGCAGTTAAGATTCTGCCCATCCTCTCCCTCCATTAACACTTCACTCAAGTATAGTAATTCTGGGCACTCTGATGAATGCAGTCAAATGATTCTGAATGAACCAGGTGAACAGTGTGCCTGTCCAGTTGTTGAATGCAGCCCCATGCAAAAAGCTCCTGGGTGAGGTAAAGCAGCACTTCAGAGATGGGGACTATATTAAACTCCAATTCCAGGCATGCTAGTTTTTCTATGCAGAAAGAGTTTCTCACAGTGGCTATTTGGTAATTGTTTCAGATCTCAGCTCACTGCTCCTGGGCTTGTCATGCTGTTAAATCTATTGCATTCAATTGATGTTGGTTTACTTGTAAAAGAGAAACAGTTTTTGAGGATGTGATAATAATTAGGCAGACTTATCAGAGTTTTGCAGAGAAAACACATTTGGAAAATTATGCACTAGCAGGGAAGTAGTCTGGTGCCCTCTAAACGTGGTGTAACTCCTATCAGCTACTCCCAGCATGGCCAATAGTATGGGATTGTGGGAGTCACAGAGCCTGAATATCTGGGGGGCAGTGGGTTATGTAAAGTGCTTAGACCTGCACGTTATGTAACATATCTGGGAAGGGCTGAAGTCACAGCCAAAGATCTTGCTGCTAAATACCAATCAATTCCAATTCAACACTTTCTAGCTGCAATACTCTTCCATGGGCCCAGGGCATTTCCAAGCCTTCCTTGAGCATCAACACCTGCTTCCTTATGCACACGCTTTTGTTACTAATAGCACAGAACGCTACTGGTAACAAAAGTGTTTGTTTCTGGGCTGTGTCGGAGCAATTTCCCTTCTGCCTCACTTTTCCACTGGCTGCCAATACAGTACTTATGTTACCCAGGAAGGCTCAGCTGGTCTCTGATAAATGCTTTTGCCTGCTGGCAGAAGGTTAATTAATCAAAAGTGCAATCCTATGGTAGCTAGACAGAGTCAATGTCACATTTACGCTGAGGTTAAGGCAAATAATTTCAATACAGCCTAGAAAACAACTGCCAGTAGACTATATGGGCCATTCAGTACAGGAGTAATACTATCATGAAATCTTGCTTGGTGAGTGTCCTATGATCTGCCATTTACACCAACTTAGGCCTACAACCACATCAGACAGTCCAGAAGGATACCATGACCAATAATATCCAAAGCCAGAGAGGTTCAGGAGATAAACAGGACCATCCACCCAGTTTTCAAAGTAGGGCATCCTCAGTCACCAAAGCAGTCTCAGCCCTGTATCTCTGCTAAAGATCCAGTTGAAATGGGTACAAATAAGTTTCATCCAGAGCCATCGGAAGTTGCATGGCCACCATCCTTCCAATCTGTGGCCAAAAATGTTGTGGTTGGAACTGGACTGCAGTTACTAAACTCTGTTATGTGAAGAGAAGATTTCTGGACATGGCAATCCTACAGTGCTCTAAGGATGGATTGTTCTGACCTATTCAAAGCACTTTCAGGCTCCTTTTGGCATGACAGAAGGAAGGGCCGAGTGATATTTGCCATTCTTCCTCCAGATTTGCGTCTTTATGTATTACTATCTCTCTCTCATTGCTTACAATGGGCAAGATTATTTAGACCAACTCCATGGCTGGTTTCAATGTTCTCCCATGCAGGGTCATGGTCAAAGGTCACTTTAGCTCCTGTGGTTCCAACAGCTCTAGTGGTCCACCCATACCACTTATACCATTGCTCTGATCTTCCTTCTTCTCACCTCTACTGATATCATGATTTCTGTAGGGGTAGGGGAGGGAGGATCCAATCTTTCCTATAGTTCCTTGGATGCAATCTTAATAAAGGTCTTATTAAAAAGGATTAGGCTTATTAATAAGGATTTCAGTCTTAATAAAAAAAATCTATTACTGCTTCCCTTAAGCAAGAAAGTATAACCCCCTCCTGCAAAGAGGCATTAATAACCTCTCTTAACCATGGCAACAGCCCTGCCTTGGCTGATTTAATCAGCCAGAAGGGACAAAGTGTAAGAACACAGATGGTGCCCTCACTGCTACAGACACCCTGTCCATATGCTGAGGATTTACAAGCTGGAAAGAACCCAACATAACTGGACAGGACTCTGGAGAGTCAGGGTGCATGCTAAGCTCTGCAGGGGAACAGGGAAGTTCCAGAGGCTCCTTCTTGCTGCTGAAATGACACAAGTGGTCTTTACTTTTCTTCAGTATGAACTCAAATTGGACGTGTGCAAAGAAATGCAAGAATCAGGAGATGATCAACAGAAACTGGAAGATACATCGACAACGGAATGATGTATCCACTCCACTAAACCAAAATAGGTTGCAGTATAACATCAAAATAGGCTCGGTACCATGGACAGCCTCTTAAAATTCAAACTAAATGCTGGAGTGGGTATACTACCCCAATGACATTGGAACAACCATGCTCCACTGGAGATGATAGATAAAACTTGCATTCAATCTCACAACTGCAACTGCTTGGATTTCTTCAAGCAATCAGTGGAACTGCTGTTGTGGAAACTTGCACTCACTTGACATGCATTACATCTGCCTGAGGAAGGTCATACATGAGAACATACTGTGTGAACGTGTCTTCAATCCCTAAATGTTTGGGCTAGTAGTCAAAACTTCAGGATATGTCAGCCTGGCCAGTCTTTCCCTTCCCTTCCTGAAATAAACATTAATTTTTTCACGTGATTTATAAATACAGAACACAAGTTGTAGATCAGGTTCTGGATTCAGTGATGGGCCAGATGAGGCCAATGAACTGACGGTGAATCCTGGCAAGACAGCATTGTTCCTTACACCAGTAGATAGGTTTATAACCTATTCTGGATAGGGCTCCAGTCCTCTGTAGGATCACTTCCATAGTCTCCGAGAGCCATCACTACTGCTGGACTCCCAAGTGACCACAGCAGTTTGGAGTGCCCCCTCCCTGCTTGGTTCGCCAGTTACAGCCTTGCCTGGACAGGGATAGCTTGGTCATGCTCATGGTGATACCGGCACTGGGAATCCCCAGACTGGATTACTGCAATGCACTCTAAGGCTGCTCTGGAAGCCAGAATGAATATAGAATATACTGCAGAATAAATATATTTGGCAGATCATAGTGCAGAATGTAGCAGCTCCTCTGTTGTCGGGAGCAGACTCTTTTCAGTGTGTCACTCCTTGGCTGAAGCAACCACACTGGACCCTCATTTGCTACTGAGCCAGGTCCAAGTTTTTAGAACTAGTGTACAAAGCCCTGTACAACTTGGGACTAGAATACCTAAGAGGGCACCTTCTTCCTTACCACCTGCTTGCTCACTGAGGTTATCAGAGGACCTTCTCTGAGTGGTTCCATGGCTTGACTGGAGTCCACCAGAACAGCCTCCCGTGTCATGGTTTTATTTCTATGGAATTCCCTTGGGGAGTCAGACAGGCACCAACACTGCGTCAGCTCAGGGTAATCTTATTTCAAGCAGCCTTTCCATGCTGACCAACCACAGTCTTGATGCTGCATTGTTTTGCTTGAAATGTTTTTAATGCATTCTTTCTATTCTTTTGTTTGTTTTAGATTTCTATTGGTCACTGCTCTGGAATCTGTGTGGAATAGGAGTTGTATAGAAATAATGTAAATGAATAAATGACAAATAATTCATCTCACATGAAAAAGTACACGTAGCTGAGCACCCCAGAGTTGGGTGACTATCCAAAGACCAGCTGAGGTCTTATACAAAGCCTGAATTAATCTGTTAAAAAATGCTTTTGTCGGGGCCCACACCTTGCATTCAAGCATAGCTGAAACAGAATACGGGAAAGTGGGGTGGGGAAGAGAAAGAGAGAGAGACAGAGAGAGAGAAGTTAACCAAACTTCTTCAGAGGTTTATAAAGGTCAGGTTTAATTTTGAGATATGATTAAATTCAGGAAAGAGGTCTTATTTTATCTGAACAGTTTCCCTATCGCTATGAATTATGAAGGAATAACGGGTCTATCATGATTAAACGAGCCATGCCCTGAAGATCTTTATTCAACACTCAGCAAGAGAAACGTGGTGATTTCTGGAGAATTATGATACAGACTTCAGGAAACCTGTGGTTGAAATGAAATCCATTATCTTCAAATGAAGACACCACTTAAACAGGTCCAGCCTAGGTAACTTAGTATTTCTGCTCAGGTGTTCATAACTTCACAGGAAGAGGAAAGTAGAGGTAAAACTTTACCACCTTCGTCTCATTTAGAGGGTTTCAGGTCATTCACTGGAAGGCCTCAGTTCATCAAGAAGGTTTTTAAAGTGCACTTCTAGCACAGGAAGCAGAATACTGAGCGTTTAAGCCATAACAGTTTCTTGGGTCCAGGCCTAAGCTTTCCAAATCTTTTTGAAAATACTTATTAGCTGAGCTACAAATAAATCTACTCCCTCAGATTAATATTCACTTTAGGATACTATGCCCATAAGATCAGAAAACTCGTGCAATGGAAGACAGGGCTCCTGTACATTTGAAAGGAAGGAAAAGAGACTATTTTCACAGGTTCAAGCTGAAGTAAGAAATATTCCACCCACGAAATCTGTATAATTATAGAAAGCAGAGGGGCCCTATTCTCTGGGTGCCTGTTCATCCTTACCAGCAGATTCTGTAATAGCTGTGAATTTGTTGGGAAGTGTTGTAGCCATTCATGTCCTATAAAACTCAGAGGTGTTTCAATAAGAGTAAGTGGTTTAAGGGTCAAAGGTAAATATAATTTTCTTGATCTGCACTCAATAATATTACACACTCATTGTGACTTGGCAAGGAGGAATGGTCCATGCTGATCTTTATTACTTAGGCAAAATTAGAATTTGGTTTGCATTTTGTTATTTCTGAGCGACAGGAATGACTTTTGCCTGCTGCGTGGCCATGGTTGAGGAACTCCAGAGGCCAATCATAAGAAATGCTATCCATCATTTTCCTCAAGCCTTCCCTTTCCTGTTGAGCTTCCCAACCTATGCATGTGGGGTTGCTGTGATTTTTGTTATTTACTTTCGTGACAAGTTGACCTTTAGTGTACATGGGCTGGCCTCCTGCAGAGACCAGACTACATACCCTCTAGGGCTTATGCACCTTGGGAAGGTCATAAGTATTTGGCAGTGAGATGTTTAACTTTTTAAAATGTTCTCCTTGTAGGCCTGTAACACAGGAAGCAATATTGAAAGTTTGGAAAATCAAGACTGAATTCATGTTATGATTTTAATCTATTTTAAAGAAAGAGAGAGGGGGGGATTTTATGCATTTAAACACTGCAAAGCTTCAGCTTCTCAAAGTATGGAGGCCAAATGCAAAGGCAGGGAATTTTGTCATGGCAGAATACTATTGCAGAAACTCACAACGAATTCACTCTGTTTGGTTCAGAAGAGCAACAGCTTGGGACAAAGGTTGCTCATCTGCTGGTGGATCTGTCTTTTCATTCTGGTTTCACTGGCCATACCAATTCTGTTCTGCAAGAGGCCCCTGCTACAACAGGCTCCCACTACAAACAGCAGCAGTTTTTTCGCAGAGTAAAATTCATACACATATGAATTGTCCTGCTCTGAAATCAGCAACACCCAGATACATTTAAAAGGTAAGATGTCAGCCAAAGTGTTTTTTAAAAATTTCTCTGAAAATTGATGATCTGCTCTGATGGTTTCTAATGTTGCAATCTTGTATGCATTTGCCTGTAAGTCCTAATGAACAGAATGAGATTTACTTCTGAGTAAACACATATCCTCGTCATGGATCACTGCCTTGCCATGGCAAAGGGGCTTGTGTGGTGCAATGAAGTTATCTGCTATGCTTTGCAGGGGCACCCAAGATGGACAGGTCATAGCAGAGAGCCCTGACAAAACATGATCCACTGGAGAAGGAAATGGCAACCCACTCCAGTATCCTTGCCATGAAAACCTCATGGACAGTATCAACAGGCAAAGAGATATGATGCCAGAAGATGAGCCCCTAAGGTTGGAAGGTGTCCAATGTGCTACTGGGGAAGAGCAGAGGGCTAGTACTAGTAGTACAGAAAAAATGAAGCGACTCGGTCAAAGCCAAAAGGACACTCAGTTGCAGATATATCTGGTGGTGAAAGGAGAGTCCAATGCTGTAAAGAACAATACAGCATAAGAACCTGAAATGTAAGATCTATGAATCAAAATAAGCTGGACATGGTCAAACAAGAGATGACAAGACTGAACATCGACATCTTGGGAATCAGCGAACAAAAGTGGACAGGAATGGGTGAATTTAATTCAGATGATCATCAAGTACACAACTGTGGACAAAAATCCCTCAGACGAAATGGAGTAGCCTTCATAGTCAAGAAAAGAGTAGGAAAAGCAGTACTGGAATACAATCTCCAAAATGACAGAAAGATCTCAGTTCTAATCCAAGGCAAAAAATTCAACATCACAGTAGTCCAAGTCTATGCCCCAACCACTGATGGTGAAAAGGCTGAAGTTGACCAGTTCTATGAAGGCCTACAACACCTTCTAGAAATAACACCAAAAAATAATGTCCTTATTATCATGGGGAATAGGAATGCTAAAGTAGGAAGCCAAAAGATAACTGGAATAATAGGCAAGTTTGGCCTTGGAATAAAAAATGAAACAGGGCACAGGCTGGCAGAATTTTGTCAAGAGAATACAATGGTCATAGCAAACACTCTTTTCCAACAACCCAGGAGACGGCTCTACACATGGACATCACCAGTTGGTAAACACAGAAATCAGATTGACTGTGTGCTCTGCAGCCAAAGATGGAGAAGCTCCATACAGTCAGTAAAAACTAGACCAGGAGCTGGCTGTGGCTCAGATCATGAACTTCTTGATGCAAAATTTAGGCTTAAATTGAAGAAAGTAGGGAAAAGCACTGGGCCACTCAGGTATGACCTAAATCATATCCCTGATGAATATACAGTAGAGCTGACAAATAGATTTAAGGAATTAGATCTGATAGACAGAGTGCCTGAAGAACTATGGATGGAGGTTCACAACATTGTACAAGAGGTAGCATCTAAAACCATCCCATAGAAAAAGAAATGCAAGAAAGCAAAATGGTTGAGGAAGCTTTACAAATAACTGAGGAAAAAAGGGAAGCAAACAAGGAAGAAAGGGAAAGATCACAACAAATTGTGGCAAGTTCTTAAAGAGATGGGAGTATCAGACCATCTTATTTGTCTCTTGAGAAACCTGTATGCGGGTCAAGAAGTAACAGTGAGAACTGGACACGGAACCACTGATTGGTTCAACATTGAGAATGGAGTTCAGCAAGGCTGTATACTGACAGGTTTCTTCCTGTCCTTTTTAAAGATACAAATTCTAGGTGTTTGGTCAAGATGTTTACATTTATACAAAATGATATTTATATTACAGAAAAGCCAACAAAGAGCTATTATGTAGCTTTGTGTGGCATTTTCTTTTTCTGGGTGTGGGGAGGGGTTAGAAATCTGTATTTGAACCAGAACAGAATTAAACGAGGCTTTTATACCTTAAATATTCAAGAGTTTTATATTCAAAATTTCTTCTGGTGCTGTCAAACTAGAGTGCCTGAAGGCAAAGTAAGATCAAGTTAGGTTCTCAAAGGTAGAATTAAATTTTATCAGGGCATCCGTCATAATATGCAGTTTGCTTAAAATGCAAATAAAAAGTGTAGTGATTCAAAGGCTAAAAAATTTTCAGGTGGAATGCAAAGTCCAGGGGACCATTTCTACGGAATAGATTCATTTAATTTACATTTCTATCATTTTAATGAAAGCATAGAACAAACAAGCAATAATGGATACGTTTGAAAATCTCATTTTTCATTTGAATTTCCTTTATTTTGTAGGTTCTCTCATGGAATCAAAAGTAAAAAGGAAGATCGAGAAAGTAGGAAGAGAAAGCATATTAACATCCCATTACCTCAGCCATTTTGGAAAGTTCAGTCCAGTCGTCTTTGTTATAGGTGCACATGATACTGGCAATGACAATCTGAAAAGAGAAGTATTGGTTTATACAATAATGTTTCCCTGAATAATTCCTTCTGCAAATACTGTTACGTGTTTATTTGCAAAACCTTTTCCCCACAACCTTCTAGAGAACCCATTGTGTTGTTATAACTGCAGTGTACAGAAACCTTGGGAATTTTAAAAATCACCGTGGCAAAGTCTGCCAAATCCTGAATGAAGTGGGTGTTAAGAGGCATAGCATAAGTAATAATATTTCTGCATAGCTGACCTGAAATCTGAGGAATACCTAATACCCCCAACTGTAAGGCAATCGTGTCAAATACCAGTTTAGCAAATTCAATATTTTAGCAGCTATTTTTAAACTATTTAATTCAAAAGCATCTTTAAGTAGAATATTGGGGTGGGGGACAATCCAAATTAGCAGTGTAGAACTTCCACACATAAACTGGATTCATGAAAATCTTCTCGAAAATTTTCTGACCTTTCCCATCCTCCCATTTTTTTAAAAGTACAACTTGATGTTCCTACTCAGAAACCATTTCTATGTATGAAAAATGTAATGTGCACAAGGCCTTTAAATCTATTCATATATACACATAAAATAGTTGGTCAAAGTTGCCACTTGGGAGAGACATGGGGAACTGGCAACTTCCCAGGAGCCCGGGAAGCATTTCCATCCCTTTAGGTGTGAAATTAGCGGAGCCAGAGAAATGGTATTAAGGAAGTTGTGAATGAGTCATGTTGTTGTTATCCTGAATACATTTGAAGTCTACATAGAAATGAGAAAGATTTGCAGTTGCCCTCTTGATTTCATGGCCTTTTGGGCTGATTTCCCTCCCTGTAAACTAGGCTTCTCCAGCCGAGGGGTTAGGGTTAGGGCTTCAGAAAAAAGTTACACGCATGGGTTAGATTCAGGGATAGGGGACTCTGTCACTCGTTGCAGCCAAGGCTCAGAGTATTCCAGGTTTATGGGACCTGTCATCTGCCATCACTATCCATCAACTCACCATTCAGAAACCGAGAGCAATGCTCCACAGTTCTCCTTCACTTAAACTGGCAATACTAACATACATAACCAGAATTGTGTTAAGAGCAGTGTGATGTAATGGTTAGAGTGTTGGGCTGGGACTTGGGAGATCTGAGTTCTAGTCCCCACATGGCCATGACGCTCAATGTGGGACGTTGTCTGGTCCCTGACTCTCAGCCTAGCCTACCTTGCAGGGTTGTTGTCAGGATGGGATGCACAGAATGAAGTTGGGTGAGCAATCTTGGGTTCCTTGCAGAAAAAAGAGCAGGCTATCAATTGCATAAATAAATACCTTTCTGGAAATGGTTATGGGGATAAATGAGCGAAGTGCAAATGCTACAAAGGGATGGATCACGCATGAATCGTGTGCATTCCAAGTCGGGATGCAGGCTACTCAATTAAAACAAAAGTGCTCAAAGGCTGAACAAGCAGAGGGGGCACCAACGCCATGCCTCCCTTGGGTGCCTTGGCTTTCTGATCGGCCTCCCTGCTGCACATAAACTGCCATCCTCAACTGATAATGGTTCCCATGTGGGGAAAAAAAACTATGATGAAGGCCACTGTTATATCATGAAAAACAGTGTTAGCATTTACTCTGCTACAATATTCTCTTCTTTCTGCTACAGTATTTTTTTTTCTTTTTTGGCCACGGCACCCCAATATTTGTCTCAAATTGAGTGAAGCACAATGACTACTAAATCTGCCCATGGGTTTATTTGCTGGAACAAATTGTGATTTCATAAAAGAATGTTATTGCCTATTATCTGACAGCAACAAAAGCCAGTGTCTTGTGTAGCTTTATTATGTGCATATGAGGGAGGAGTAGATTTGTGTTTATAGCAAAATTATTTCAAAGATTTGGTTTAAACCTTCCCTGTGGGGATAATAATGATTGACAATGCTGTCCAAAAGCCTTTGTTTTCCAGAAGGAAAGACAAGAAGAAAAAGAAGAAAAATGTTTAATTGGATTACTGACATATGTACAGTTAAGAGAGTGGCTTAATTTTCAAATAACTTGGTTCTTAATGTACTGCCTGTTAACCATTCTATTTTTTACACAAACATCACAACTATTTCTGCCATTTAAAGCAGAACAATTGCACTTATATGTGCATAGATCCAGTTTAGCATATAATAAAAGTCAGTTTGAGCAAAAGTAGGCCGGCTTAAAGCATTTATAGCGGACTGCTTTGTAATTACTGCACTGTAATACATTTTCAAATTATCTTGCCTGCAATCGTAGTTGGCCTCATTTTCAGTGATGTTAAAATATTGCCTTTTTTTCTTCTTTTGTTATCTCCACCACTACCACTTAAGGTTTTCTTTGAAGAATGCTGGACATCTTCCAGTTGATGTGATCACAAATACTGCTAATTCCAACTTTGGTTCACTTTGTACAGGTTTTGGTATGATGCTACACTCACTTGCCCTTCTTGTCTATTTCTTGTAAATTAAAGAGGAGGAGGAGGAAGAGACTTTTCTTTGTTAAATTTCCAACCTATTTATTTCAAAGTGCAGGCCAGTGTACACACTCAGAGTATGGAAACAGCTATGGCAGATGTGGGGCATGGGTATACATCATATCCTGGTGGCGCCTCATGCATACTAATAACGTACATAATTTATATGGCATGAATATACCATTCACACTATCACAGCATCATGGATTTGGCTGATCTCCAAGTCTTTAAGCCTCCTCTGAATAAGGAACAGGATAAACAAACCCGGCGACTTTACTGTACAACCCCACTTTCGCACAGGTCTCACTCACATCACATAGCCTCCATGTGCAAGCAGTGCCCAGTGGACATGACCAAATATTCAGTGGATAAACTGGTTTGCAACAGAGAATGATTCTTTTCACTCAAACCTACATGTCAAACCAGAAAGGCTTATAGCAGAGATATGAAGAAAGCCCGAAAGGTTTTGAGGAGCCATAGACTAAGCAAGGTCCATAGTAGATTTCAGAATTTAACCACCAACTACAGAATTGATGGCTAAACTACATCAGCTTTCAGCATTTAGCCATCAACACTCTACAGAGGCCAAGTGTGGGCCAAGACATTTTGCTGCCTGGAGCAAAGCTTGGCTGCCACCATCACCCTCCTAGGACTGCTACTTTAAAGAGTCTTGCTGTGCCGTGCAGAACCCAGTCATGCCTTCACGCCTGTTTCCGTCGCCCACTATGCTGATACCAGAAGTAGATCGTTGCCCTCTGCTGCATGGAAGAGCTGGCTGTAACTAATGAGATCTGCCCTCGGCACTAAGCGGTGAAGGGGGAAAACCCAGCACCACTGAGTGACTTCACAAAATACCTTCGTTTTTAATTAGCAAGAACACCAGAACACAGTCACAGCTCTTAATGGTGCCATCTTAAACATGTCTACTCAGTAAGCCCCACCGAGTTTAAGTGAATATAGCATTGCAGCCTATAGCCTAAAAGTGCAGCTTTGCATTTCAACACAAGCCTGGTAGCCACGGATGACCAAAGCACCGCATGGAATCCCATGCACTCATTTGCCTTCATGGAATCCTGTGCGTCACCTGCAAGCAAACCACATGAGCAGGAATGGAGCACAGCATTTCTTTTCTGTGCCTAGCAAACAAAGCGGGCTGCTGGAGAAAGGAACCCTTGCTGCCAGCTTGGGTTGCAGCTGTCCATTGTCCCTCCCCGGCCAGCAGCAAGCTCACTTTTTTTGGAAGAGGGGAAGGAACTAAATATCTGTGGGCTTATTTACAAGATTATAAAACAGAATATGTCCCTTCTCTACTTACTGGCCTTTTCTAACATCTGGGTTGGAAGTTAAAATGGAAAGTAACCACATCCTCTCCAGGAGCTTTTTGTTGCTTCTATGTTTGTTTGTTTGTTTATTTATTTATTTATTAAAACATTTTTATGCCGCCCCATTCGCCGAAGCCTCAGGGTGGCTTACAACAATTAGTTACATAATTATAATTAAAAATATAAACATTAAAATAAAATACATACAATATAAAATAAGCCACCCTGGCCAGATAAAATTCAATAATATTAACATTTAAAATGC